TTGAGCGCTTCGCGCGGATATCCGGCTGGAGACTGTCTAGGTCATTCCAGAGTACGGCCTCGCGGAATTACCGTATTTTTTCAGCAAATGTCCAAAGAAAATTTGGCAGACGTGCAACCGCATGAATCTTCAAAATAAGCACATGCGTTATTGTTAATATCTTTAATTTTGAACCTCAGACTGCGGACTCCCTCATTTTGCCGCAGACTCCCTCTTTTTGAGGGCAGGGAGTCCGTTGGACTCCCTTGTTTAAAAGTTAATTTCTACTCCTGTAGTTAATTGTTTTTCTGTGTCGTTTGCAGGTCCGTACGATGACATACCCCTGTCTGTTGACACTGACATGACGACCATCGTGCGTGGCATGGCGCGGCCCGATTCTGGCCTCGACATTCGTGATCGCATGTGGCTCAAGATCACGATACCGAATGCATTTATTGGTACGGGGTTTTTATCATATTGCACCCTTCATTATTCTCACTATAGGTTGAGTACACATACTATAACTATTACGCATAGCCCCCTTTCCACTTTGGTCCTACCTGCCTTGCTTCCATGCTACCATGAATCCAATGCTTAATATTATCCATTATCCATTATTATTTTTATCCATTGCTTCTAATGAATCTCATATATAGTATTATATATATTTAGCATATTTATTCCTCTTTGTACCACATAAAAGGTTGGGAAGCTTACTTTTCCTGCATTTATTGATGTAGGTACTGATGTTGTCGTAATGTTGTCGAAATGAATCCCATATATAGTATATATTTAGCATATTTATTCCTCTGTACCACATAAAGGGTTGGGAAGCTGACTTAGCCTATGTTGGTTGATGCAGGTGCTGATGTTGTTGATTGGTTGCACACTCACGTTGAGGGCTTCACGGATCGCAGGGAATGCAGGAAGTACGCGTGTGCGATGCTGAAGGCTGGACTTATACGTCACACCGTGAATAAGATCACATTCTCAGAGCAGTGCTACTATGTCTTCGGTGATCTGTGCAGCAGTAAGTGTTAGCTGTAATCGCAAGGTCTTGATTGTGATCAGTTGCTACACAGTTGAACCTGTATGTAAGTGTTTAAGGAAAGGGGTAAAGTGCCCTTTATGGCCAGGTATCTTTTCTATAGAAGTGGTTTCATTGTATGACTCCTAATTTTCTCACCTAAATATATTTATTTACAAAAAAGGATTTCTGTGTATAATGTTGTACGATGCAACGTGACGTAGGTAAACACATTTGGTTTGGTAAAACTGGAATGGCGATCATTGCGAAATGTATTAATGTGCGTGGGTGCGTGCGTGCGTGCGTGCGTGCGTGCGTGCGTGCGTGCGTGTGTGAAGGAGAAACGTAGGTATGAGTGTATAACAAGTGTATGTATAGTAATGTACGTTAGAGGAGTATGTAGGTCTATGTATGTATAGGGGGAGTATGTAGGTCTATGTATGTATAGGGGGAGTATGTAGGTCTATGTATGTAGGGGGAGTATGTAGGTCTGTGTATGTATAGGGGAGTATGTAGGTCTGTGTATGTATAGGGGGAGTATGTAGGTAAGGAGCCACATACAAACGCGTGTGATCTGCACTGCAGGCATGTCGGCGCTGAGTCTAGGAGATGACTTTGACTCGGTGAGCTGTAGTGAGGCTGATCGTGACACGCTCGCGCCGCTGCCCCCGCCGTCCGCAGCCAGCCCGTGGGGCGCGGGCCAGATGCCTTACTCCGGCAGCTACATCCCGCAGAGCACCGGCTACGCGCCGATGCCGTTCAACTTCACCAACGACAGCACGAGTTACACGAGCTACGGCGGAGTCGGAGCGCCACCTGGTGCCAACGGCAGCGTTCACAGTGGATCCGGAGGTATGAGGTTGGGGTTAGGGTTAGGTTGGTGGGTGATGATGGAGGTATGAGGTTGGGGTTAGGGTTAGGTTGGTGGGGGATAATACTTGAGAAAGTGTCATTGGACGAGTCCATCACATGTTTATAGACAGGCGCTGTAATGTCAAGAGTACAGCAGGGAAACGGTACATTGATTGGCGGTCGCCATGGGTGGTAAGCCCGTCCGAATTGTTCATCTAACCCGTATGTTAGTTTCACTAACGAGAGGCACCTTATAGACAGGTGTCCGATTCATCGAGCTTCACCAGATAACTGTCGCACATGAAGCATCCTGAAAGTGTCCTTTCTAGACAGGTGGTGACCGACGGCGCTGGTTTGACGGTACGTTGTTTCGTTTCAGGCAGCAGCAACGGCTCGAACGGCAAGAAGGAGCAGCTAGACCGCAAGTCAGCTAGTCCAGCCAACAGTGCCAGCGATTCGGAATCTCAGCCGGGTCGACGCACGGGCGCCGGCGGCGGCGGCGGCGGCGGGTCAAAGCGGGAGCGAAGCAATGATCGGTGCAGCACATGCGCAGTCTCTCAGCAGCAGCAGCCAGGCAGCAGCAGGGGCGGGACCGTCGCGCTAGGGGCACTGGAGGTGTGGCCTGCAGACCATTGACGGCTCGCGGCAGTCGTTCCGCATGGCCATGGCAACCCGTGTGAGTTCTTTTGTTGACGTCATGTGAGGCGCGTCTCGGGCTGCGCCGCCACCGCCGCCAGCAATCGTTCCTAACGCTCGCGACCGTGCGACTTCTTGACCTTGCGACCTTGACCTTGTGACCTTTTGACCTTGCAACCTTGACCTCGCAACTTCTTGACCTCGTGACTTCTTGACATCACGACTTCTTGACCTTGCAACCTTGACCTCGTGACTTCTTGACGGCTGCACGACTCTGACCTTGCGATTTCTTGACCTTGCGACCTTGACCTCGCGATTTCTTGACCTTGCGACCTTGACCTTCGGTGAACGTTCGCAGTTGTTCTCGGCGGTCGTTTTCCGAGAACGTGTGAACGAAGCTTCGTCTGATGTCCGATGTTTGGTGGCCTTGTCTTTATATTAGGAGCGTTCTCACACCATAATCTGATTGGTTGTCTGACATTGGCCTGAGGTTCAGTCTCTGCCAAAATCCGATCGATTGTCAGGCGTTTGGAGACTGGCCAATATTCGTAACTTCTTAACCGAAGATGATCGGGTGTCAAGAGGTCAGAGGTCAATCTACGAGTGCATAGGATATCATTTTCTGCCCATCGCGTACGTCTGTATATATGAGTGTATTGAGAAGAACCCGTTGTAAGTGTGGAGTCTATTGCAAGGGTTCTGGTATAGTAACACAAGTTTTTTAAAGCAAAGATGTGCGGATGGTGAGTTATCTTCGAGCGGATCGGGTGCTGGTATGGGATACCTTTATTCTTAATCGTTGAGATGTATTAGCGACTGTAAGATGCCACGGCACCGAAATTTGTCTCGTGTTATTGTAAAATCATCAATTCGTGTAATTGGCAGGGTCGATAATATTTAAGTAAGTGCTGCCCTCTGTAGCCCGTAAATGACATATTCGCCTTTAGGGTGAAATCGTAACGCGTATTTATACTTGCAGTAGGAGTCGTAGACCTATTATATAAATAGAGGTTGCGTTATGCGTGTCACCAGTGTAGTAGTGCGTGCGTGCATGTGGCATGTGCATAGCAATGTGTGTGTAACATAGAGAGTCCCAGTGTCGTTAGCTGTCAGCATTTGATACTCGTGAACTACATCTGTATTCATGTCACCAGTTTGCCTTGTACTAACGGATGTTTCTCTTGGATTTTTCTAGCCAGCCTCATGGACGAAATCAGCGTAGACCTTTAGGTATCTCGCTCTATTATAATTCTCTCTCTCTCTCTCTCTCTCTCTTGCTCCGTCTGTCTTGGTTTCGTTGATTTTGTATATTTTGAGAATACTGCCTTATCGAGTGTTATTATAAGTCGATTGTGCTGCTTGCTGCATGTGAGAGATTGATGTAACATTTCATCTATCCGCTGTTGTGATTGGCGCTGTCAGTACTAGCGATTCTGGGTAACATTAGTGGTGAAAACTACTGTTACTGTCTGTCGGTAATAAGGTTGGTTGTCTGTGTACACAATCAAGTGGGCTATATAATTTTCAGTGACGGTGGCTGGATTAAAGGCTTGTTTGTTGTATTTTATAATCCTAGCCGTAACGGAATCCTGGTTGTGCTTTCGCCAAGTTATGACAAAGCTGGTCATCAGTTGTGCTCCCATCCACTGCGCAAATCCGAATTAATTTTTGCGACCGAAAGTGAACCAATTAATTGATCTTCATAATGATTCAAAATAACTTAAAACTCGAGCACGTGTAGCCATGACAACGGGATGCCATGAAGCCCTACATTGTGTGTGTTTATCTCCTGGCGGTGACAGGACAGTGGACATGCGTGAACATACGTTAGTAAAGAAGTCCACCATCCCTTGCGAAATGTCGAAGGCCCAGCCGAGATGTACAATATTGATTCGTCAGCCCGAGCTATATAACTCCCCCACTGGGAGATGCTGTCTGTATCTCTGTTAAGCTAGATTAGTTTATACGTGGTTTTACACGTGCGCGAACCAACATGTCGACTTTGTGGCGCTTCGTTGCTATGCTTTGTTTTTTTATAACGTCCTATTGCACCACCATTAGACTGGGGATGCTTGGTGATCATTAGGGAGGGGGGGGTAGCGGAAGCAACGTGGCGTCAGTCTACGTATCGCTTGTATTGCAGATTGGACTGCAACTGCTTGTGAATAGTGAGCTCCAAAGGAGGGGACGGGGGTTTCACGCCTGCCACGTGTGACGCGAAAGATTTCCCATGTGACGGTGTGTGTTGCGCGTCTTGACGTTATTGCGTTTGAACCTAACGTACCGTGTTAAGTGTTATCGATATGCAGGCGGGCAGGCGGCGGGCGGGGCGGACGATCATTTTCGCGCGTGCCGCATGTTCGTAAAACCAAGCGCAGTGCAACGACGCGGCGGCCACGTAATGAAATATGAAATGCGTTTTAGGTTGTGATGTTGAAGGCGTGTAGACCAGCGTGTCATCGGCCCGCTATTGCTGGCTGGCTCCGCTGCCACTGCTCCCTGGCTGCTGGCGGCTGCTGCTGGGCTACTGCTGCTGCTGCTGTCTGCTCGGCTGCTACTGCTGCTGCTGCTACTGCTGTTACGCTCGCGCTGCTGTTAGCTGCTGCTGGCTGTTACTGCTGCTGCTGCTGTTACTGCTGCTGCTGCTGCTGCTGCTGCTGCTGCTGCTGCTACTGCTGCTGCTGCTGCTCCTGCTGTTGCTGCTACTACTGTTGCTGCTGCTGCTACTGCTGCTACTGCTACTGCTAACCGTATCATATATGAGCACTGTCACTGTATTCATAGTTTCATGTTTCATTCTGAGTTCTGTATCACATGGAACTGTGTGTGTGTGTGTGCGTGCGTGCGTGCGTGCGTGCGTGCGTGCGTGCGTGCGTGCGTGCATGCGTGCGTGTGTGTGTGTATGCTCGTTACTGCAACACCAGGGTGCTATACTAGCGGTTCTCCCAAACCGCGGTTTAACGGAGTTATTTCCGAGAAAAAAATGCTGCGTGCTGAACTGTTCAGTGTGTTACGTTAAGCATGGACTCACCTGATGTCTGATGATGTCCTGGTGTTATCCGGTAGGTGCGTTGAAATGGCTTCTTGTGATGGTGATGGTTCATGTGACAGTTATTGTTGAGCAGTGCGCGTTTACACGAGACGCGATTCATGGGATAGTTCGACTTCACGAAGCCGTTCTTCCCTGCTCTGCTATCCATGTTTTTATCCTGTTTGTGTAAACTCGAGAGAGTCGGTAATATAACTATAAGCTACTCAGTTTGTTGCTATTTATGAGCGTATCTATGAAAGGCACTGATATTGTACCTTTATTTTTTATATCCTGAGCCTCACCCCACCCCCGACAACACACACGCGCATCTCTCGTTGTTGTGGCTCGCGGGGGCAATAGCGATTTGTCAGTCTTATGTAGTCGACATGTGACATTGGCTGATGTCGAAAACGCGAGGCGTGCGAAATCGGCGGAAACAACCAGAGCGCGCTTTACGAAGTTTCGCTCGGTTCTCGTCTCTCAGTCATCGATGTTACAAGCGGTTGCTGCAGCTGTGGTGGTCGCGTGTGCGTGTACCTATTGTAATATAGTTGTATAGCCAGTCAACCAGTCCCACTGTTGATCGTGTACGGTGTCGCCGCCTAGTGGCTGCTTCTCGATAACCAAGTGCCATATTCCGAGTGCTGTTCATTCTCGTAGGAAATAATTACTTTCAGGTGTTGTCGTTATTCGTGGCAGGCGTATGGTTTTAAGTAGTTACCGGAGTTAAGGCAGCGAGCGCGGTTCCTATTGTGTAGTTTTCGTATGTTTTACAACGTTTTTTGAGAATATACATTTATATTTATTTCGATGTTCGTAGAGGATTTGTACAGACAGAGAGAGGGTGGGCGGGTACTTCGTGGACATTATGCAGCACAGGCCAAGTGCAATCGTAATTTGCTATTTGGGACAAGTTGCATAACGATGTTACGGCGTTTCTATCGAAACACGGATCGTGTAATGGAAAATTTCATGAATTTTTTTTGCTTGAGTATAGAGATACATAATCATCTATAAATTAAACAAGTGATTGATTCGATTCATTTGTCATTCTTCATTAGAGCAATGCCCTGTGCAGAAGCTTGAGTCTATCCTTACGAGTCATTACTTTTTATGGAAATATCATGCAAAACCGATTAGCACCTGCTTCGACGGCTGCATCTAGATCGGTTTTCGAAACTAGTAACTCGTAATAGATTAATTACATGGATTTATTGTAAAATAAAATTGCGTTTAATATTATCATGACATCTGATTATATCCCGCGAACAACTTGGCATCGCACCAACGCGCTCAAAGTATCACCGGTTAGTTTAGACAGCTCTGTTAGACATACCCGCACAAACTTGCTCTTATGACTTGTATGCGTATTTCGTAATAGACAACTTATTAGTGCAGTAGTGAAACATGGGGGAGGGGAGGTTTTCAATTGATTATCAGTCAAACTGCTGCTTCGAGAGTTGGTACTTGACAGTTGTCAGCTGTTACTATGTCAACTCGTGTATCGATGCAATTGCTGATGTGTCGCCCTTGCCATTCTGAGACATTTAGGTTTATGTATACATCGCGGCAGCGCTAGATATACTCTGGAATGTAATAATATAGATTATTATATCTCTATTATCTCATTTAAATTATCACACTCCTGATGTAATCTCCGCCTGCTTGCATGATTAAGATGCGTACTATATATACGGACCGTATAAGCAGAGTGTGTAAAGAGCAATTCACGCTGGCGCAGGTACAGTCACTGGTGTGAATATCTCATTTTAAAATGTGCATAATCAAATCGACTAGTATACCGTGCAACTGCGTTCGGTTCGAACGTGAGATTCTGTTATAGGGTGTGAAAATACTGTTTCTGAAATTCTATATATAGCATGATTTTGTGAGCAATCTCTTATAAGCGCGTACGTACAAGTATTGCTTGTTGTTGTGCGGTTGTGCATGCATTGTAGGTTTAGGTGGTAATTACTAGTGAAATCGACGCCTTGGAAACGCCACGCCGTCTTGCACGTATATATTTTAGTGTAATAGCTTTGTAAGTATGCATATAAGTTAATAAACTATGTAAGTACAAACGAGCCAGACTTTTGCGTAGTTTTGTCATGGCAGTCGTGCACGTGTGTGCGTGCGTGCGTGCGTGTGCGTGTGTGTGCGTGCGTGTGCGTGCGTGTGTGCGTGCGTCCTCACGTGCGCGTGTGCGTGCGTGTGCGTGCGTGTGCGCGCGCCGTATAAACATAAAGAAATTTTCATGGTAAAAGAAATAAAAACATCAACGGTGTGTACTGCTTTCCGTGCGTGTAGCAATAACAGCTTAATTTCGAAAGCCGTAAATGACAGTAATCCTAACCGATACGCAAAGTCTGCTGCTACAAGTCCTTAAAAGTTGGCGAGTAATAAAAAAACATTGATATTTGCTTAATTAATATTCGGCACTTTAGTGTATACGTATCTTGGCCTAGTTGAGTGACGCTAAAGAAAATAATTAATTATTATTTTACTTAATAAATATAACAATGCTATGCTACTATAATAATGTATTAAAACAACATCTTATTTAAATATGAAAGTATTCATATTAAAAAGAATATTATATATAAATTAAAAAATATCTTAATATTTATCATTCGAAATTCTGATTGGAATAATAATCGGAAATCGATCATCTGATTGGCTCTCCTCAAACATCCAGAAGGTTCTGATGACGTCATGGGGAGGAGGCGAAAAGAGACGGTGAGAATTGTGTGATGTTTACATTATTACATTGTTTACATTGTTTACATTGTTTACATTCGCGATGACGGAAATGAAAAATTAATGTGTGGTTTCACCATGCATTACTTTCACGGCGACCTAATGCAGTTTTAGCTGTACCATCTCAAATTAATAAGGTTCCGTGTCGGGCATAAATCGCACGGTTATTAACTTGCGTAATTTAGACCGATGTGTTTTGCGTTCTCCTGTAAAGTTTATAATAGAATAGAAGAAACAGTCGCTTTTACTGTCAGTGTTCCTTGCTCCAAGCCGGGTGAAGCGAGACCCGACGACGGAATAAAAATTGCAAATGTAATAACAGAAAAAAAGTGTTTTTTTTCGTGCATAATTCATCAGCCCCGCCTTAATCGCAAATGCTTATTCAATAAGGATTTAACGCTGAAAACCTTAGTTATAGCAAACGATGTAATCAATCTGACAAACGAGTGTAATTCTGCCGGTTATCGGCACGCTGGTGAAAGCGCTGCATTTATACCGCGATGTAGTGAGACGTATTTTCACAACATTGTGAGTACCATAATTGCAGCGTGCTACCCAGTCTGTCCAACGAGGAAGAGGAGGAGAAGGAAGAAGAAGAAGAAGAAGAAGAAGAGGAAGAAGAAGAGGAGGAGGAAGAAGAGTGTGTGGTAGTGGTGACGATTATGGCGGTTTAAGTAGAGGAGCACGCATTTCTGACATTTTCTTCTTATCCTCCTCCTCCTCCTCCTCCTCCTCCTCCTTCTCCTCCTCCTCCTCCTCATCCTCCTCCTCCTCATCAACATCCTCCTCCTCCCCCTCCTCCTCTTCCTTCTCCTCCTCCTCCTCCTCATCAACATCCTCCTCCTCCTCCTCCTCATCCTCCTTCTCCTCCTCCTCCTCCTCCTTCTCTTCCTCCTCCTCCTACCCTCCTCCTCTTCCTTCTCCTCNCTTTCACGGCGACCTAATGCAGTTTTAGCTGTACCATCTCAAATTATAGGTACGGTCGGCATAAATCGCACGGGTTATTAACTTGCGTAATTTAGACCGATGTGTTTTGCGTTCTCCTGTCACATTTTAATAGTAGCAAAATGAAACAGTCGGCTTTTACTGTCAGTGTTCCTTGCATGCCAGCCGGGTGAAGCGAGACCCGACGGAATAAAAATTGCCAAATGTAATAACAGAAAAAAACGTTTTTTTCGTGCATAATTCATCAGCCCTTAATCAAATGTTATTAATAGGATTAAACGCTGGAAAACTTAGTTAT